CTGGATGGCTCAGTGGGTTAAGCATCTGACTCTTAATTTCAGCTCAGGTCATGATCTCAGGGTTGTGAGATTGAGCCCAACGTTGGGCTCCACACTGAGCCTGCTTAAGATTCTGTCTCCTTCTCCCTCTGTCCCCCTTTTCTCCGGCTCACGCACTCTAAGAAATAAATTAAAAAGGGGCGCCTGGATGGCTCGGTCGTTGGGCGTCTGCCTTCGGCTCAGGTCGTGATCCCGGGGTCCTGGGATCGAGCCCCACATCGGGCTCCCTGCTCCGCGGGAAGCCTGCTTCTCCCTCTCCCACTCCCCCTGCTTGTGTTCCCTCTCTCGCTGTGTCTCTCTCTGTCAAAAAAAAAATCTTAAAAAAAATAAAAACACACTTTATATGTTGAATAAACTGGGAGGTGAAATTGCTCAGCAGGGTCAAATGAATGACTTCACAGAATCAGGAGGAAAGACATACCTCTGTGTTCTTTAGATTAAAGGAAACCGGGATTCTTAATCTTAGAACAGGGTTACTATGGATCACTTTTGTATCTTTTTGTACTTTAAATCAATGGCCACATAATTGCGGCCAATTAAAAAATAGTACTTTTATAAATTCTAACATTTTTTTATCCTCTTACAGCTGGGAATGGAGGAAGAAGATGTGATTGAAGTTTATCAGGAACAAACAGGGGGTCATTCAACGATTTAGATATTCTTTTTATTTTTTTCTTTACCCTCAATCCTTTTTTATTTTTAAAAATAGTTCTTTTGTAATGTGGTGTTCAAAACGGAATTGAAAACTGGCACCCCATCTGTTTAAAACATCTGGTAATTTGAATTCTAGTGCCCATTATTCATTATCACTTGTTTTCATTGTGCTGATTTTTGGTGATCAAACCTCAGCCCCCTTCATATTGCCCTCTCCTTTTTAAAAATTACGTGTGTGCACAGAGAGGCCACATTTTCCAGGACTGTGCATTTTCAGGCTTGTGATAAATAAGATCGACCAATGTGAGTGTTCATGATGACTTTCCAATTGGCCCTGAAGTTCTAGCATGTGATTGCTTCACTCCTGGACTATGACTTTCAGTGGGAGATGGAAGTTTTTCAGAGAACTGAACTGTGGAAAAATGACCTTTCCTTAACTTGAAGCTACTTTTAAAATTTGAGGGTCTGGACCAAAAGAAGAGAAATATCAGGCTGGAGTCGAGATGACAGGGATGGCGAGAGCAATGACTAACTCCAAAGATGGCTTCACTGAAGAGAAAGCATTTTAAGATTAAAAGAAGTCTTGTCAGAAGATCCCAGAAAAGTTCTAATTTTGATTAGCAGTTAATAAAGTTATTCATGCAGAAGTGTATTCAACAGAACACTGCTCTTTTTGATTTTATTTGTACTTTTTGGCCTGGGATATGGGTTTTAAATGGACATTGTCTGTACCAGCTTCATTAAAATAAACAAAATATTTGTAAAAACCGTACTAATGTTTATTTTATTTTTAATTGTATAGAAAGAAAAAAGAAAATGCCTATAACAAAGTTTTCTTGCATAATACTGGAAATTATTGTTTGTACATGGTACAAATAAATTTTTCAGGACTGTACAGTGATGATGATCATGACTTTGAAGCACTGAAAGCTACTGAAGTGCCTTTGAATTAAGGGTTTAATTAAGGCCACGCTACCTTCTTAAATAGTGTTCTGTTCTTTTTTTTTAAACTGGATATTCCTGTATGGTGCGTATCTATGATATAGTTACCCAGTCATGTTGAATAAATGGGCATGCCAAAAATTCTTAATTGATTCATATTGATAATCTTAAGTCTTTAACAATTTACAACATGTTCTCTGCTTAGTTAAGGTTTGGTATACTTTGTTTATATTTTCCTTTTATTTCTTTATGTTTTAAATATTTAAACTTTGTGTAAAATTAAAGTACCAAATTAGTGCCTATTAGAGGGCTTAACCTTTTAACTCTTTAACAAATCACAGAATTTAGTATATGTATGCATACACATAATCCAATTTCATGTTATCCCAGGTAGAATGTCATCTGAGTACTTTAGAAGAGCAAATAAAACCTATCTCTAATTTTATAAACCGTTACAGCTTAAATACCCTACTCAAGTCACCTGTTAAAAAATAATTGGCTTGCCTTATAAATTCCTACATCTGATCCTAACTGAAAAATTATTTGTATTGTACATGTATAGTTTAGGTAAATGAGAGCATTTAGACTTGTCACCTGGCATTTATTAAATAGTGACTAGGAACGGGGTCCATTTCTGGAAAATCCTAATTGCATATTTCTGTCAGGCCTGAGTAACAAACTTGACAGGCTATTTGAGCTATTCAGAATGCGTGAGTATGTAGTTTGGTATCTTAATTTTGTTTGCATCTCTGTCTGAAAGTGCTTAGCATTTAGGTGGTGGAGTTTAGCTACTGGGGAAATCATTTTTTTAGTTTATCGAAGTCTTCTAAATACACTGCATTCTTCTATGGTAAACTTAGTAAAATGTGCGTATCTGGTGTAGTAGTGCTGGTAAAATAGGACTTTCACAGCAACAATTTTATAGGACATCAGATTTGGAAAGGAACCTTGAATAACATTTAGTGTAGCCGCTCCACCTGGTGCTTGACTGCAACATCCTAAATTTGTAAAAGAAGGGAGAAAATAAAGTCGGTAATGGTAATTTCCCCCACAAGGGTGTTTTCCTTGCGTGCTCTTCTGTATTATTTGACATGCTCCTTTCTCATCTGCTTAAGCATTACTGAATGACTTGAATGAATGAATGAATGTGCAAGTAGGATGGACAATTTTGAGAAAAAGTTTGTGACATATTTAAAATCACTGTGATAGCCAGTATTTTGGCCATTTTATTTCTGTTTTACATAAAGCAAGTTAAAAAGCATCAAATCTAAGCAAGTCCAATAATAGCAATACAGAATCAAAATGAAGCTTGACTTCTGGACTGTGGAAGTACAGTTCCTGTAGAGAGCAAATACTTTACAAGCTTTGGTGAGAAATTTTGAGGGAATCATCTGTAAATACTAAGTTTTTCAGCCGCAGACCGTGGAGTATAGAGTAGGGCCAAAGGGAATTTGTGGGAAAATTCAGGTTCAGATGCTGCTTGCTTTAACGTCCTCTTCTGTATCTTGCTTGTAAAGATCTTTCTTCCCTTTTAATGATCATTCTAGGATAGGTACTTTAATTAGATTCTTGATATTTAAAGAGATGTTAAAGAAGAATTATCTAATCAAGACTATACCTTAACAGCGTCAGTATGATTTTAAAAACGGGGAAGTTATGGGGGCGCCTGGGTGGCGCAGTGGGTTGAGCGTCAGACTCTCGTTTTCAGCTCAGGTCGCGATCTCAGGGTTGTGAGATTGAGCCCCACTTTGGGCTCTGTGTTCAGTGCGGAGTCTGCTTGAGACTTCCTCTCCCTCTGCCCCTCCCCACCACATGCTCGCTCTCTCTCTAAATAAATGAATAAATCTTAAAAAAAAAAATGGGGACGGGCGTCTGGGTGGCTCAGATGGTTAAGCGTCTGCCTTCGGCTCAGGTCATGATCCCAGAGTCCTGGGATCGAGTCCCGCATCAGGCTCCCTGCTCAGTGGGGAGCCTGCTTCTCCCTCTGCCTCTCTCTCTCTCTCTCTCTGTCTCTCATGAATAAATAAATAAAATCTTCAAAAAAAAAAAATGACATTATGTGAGTGGTTGGATCTTAAAGGCACAGCAATAAACCCTCCAGATTTGTTAATTACCAGGGGTCTAGAACAGTGCTGTCCAGTAGAACTTGCTGTGAGAATGGAAATGTTCTGCTTCTGCACTAATAAGGTAGCCAGTAGCTACATGTGGCTGTTGAGCAATTGAAACATGGCTAGTGTGACTGGAGAATTGAATGTTTTAATGTACATTTAAATAGTTACGTGTGGCTACTTTGAATGTTTTAACATACATTTAAATAGTTAACATGTGGCTACTTATTGGCCAGTGCAGCTCTAGAATCTATATTTTGAGGAAGTGAGAATACTCTCAACAAAACGGCTCATTTTGCTCAAATGAACATTTATCAAGTGATTACCTTGTTCTATTTTTTTATTTTTTAAAGATTTTATTTATTTGACAGAGACACAGCGAGAGAGGAACACAAGCAGGGGGAGTGGGAGAGGGAGAAGCAGGCTTCCTACTAAGCAGGGAGCCCGACGTGGGGCTCGGTCCCAGGACCCTGGGATCATGACCTGAGCCGAAGGCGGACACTTAACGACTGAGCCACCCAGGTGCCCCGTGATTACCTTGTTTTAAACGGACATTTTAGATTCTTAGGCTGAAATGGATGTGGTTTTGCCTTTTAAAGAGACAATGAAGTTCTCAATATATGAACTAACTGCTTAGCTTATTCAGAATTATTTGCATTATGGAATTTCCATACATCTGCAACTCTTTCAGACACACTGTGAAGTGAAATACTTTGACCATCTTAAAGATGATGTAAGTCTTACTAATTGAAATTCAACTGAATTTACTGAAATTCAAACAACAAATGAAATTATTGGCCAGTTTTAGGCACCAAAGCTTCTGGATTTATGTGGTTCTAGAGAACATTAAGGATTAAGGTGAGTGAAGAGTTTATTTATTTTTTTTAAAGATTTTATTTATTTATTTAATTGACAGAGCGAGAGAGACAGCGTGAGAGGGAACACAAGCAGGGGGAGTGGGAGAGGGAGAAGCAGGCTTCTGGCCGAGCAGGGAGCCCGATGGGCTCGATCCCAGGACCCTGGGATCATGACCTGAGCCGAAGGCAGTCGCTTAACCAACTGAGTCACCCAGGTGCCCCGAGTGAAGAGTTTAAATGAGTTAAGTCACATGTGTGGTTGGGAGGGGTGGTGGGAATGGAGGTCCTAGAGTGAAGTGAGGTGTGCGTTGAGGTGAACCAGATGAAATGGGGCATCATTATAGAAGTTTCTCTTTTTCTGTCACTACCTCCCAACTTACTTTTTAGTTTTCTTCTAGCCTTAAGGTCTGGGTATTTGTAGGAACTGGAAGTATGAGTAGACCCACGATCTGGAAATGTTGTGTGTCCACCGCAAGGCACTGGCTTCCTTACAGAGTTCTTGATGGAAATGAAGATGTTTCTCCAAAGCAGCTTTTTGCCTAAGGAGACAACCCACCCACAATCCCAGTATGATTAAGCATCCTAGAAATTGCCCTTCTAAGCTAGTAGAAGAACTTTGGATTTGAGCAAACATCAGTTAGACTTGGGGCTACTGATCTTGCATTTTAGTGGAAGATCATACCCTATTTGTTTAGTAACTTTACACATGAGTTTTGGAGTTTCATGAGCCTTCTACTGGAAAAGCAAAAGCTAGCATTTCTTAAACTTGTATTGCTGGAAGGGACTCCCTTGTTTTAGAGATGAGGAAACAGGCCAGAGAAAGAAGTTAAAGTACCTGCGCCAATGTCACACAAGTGAAGATGAAATAAAGCCAGCTGGCATTACGTTCTAACCCTTGGTGGAGTGAGGCTCTACCTCTCACACACCGCCTTAGTTACTTGGTTTTCTGCTCTCAGCTACTTGGACTAGCTTTACGGAATTGTTTAGCTTGCTTTTGGTCTCAATACTTACGAACCCAGTCCTGCCGCTCTTGATATATGGAATACATAATTTTGAATTTGAATCAAGACTTCTCTAATGATCTGTTTTTTAATTCATATAACAGCTGGGGGGTGGTGGGGGAAACCCAACAGTTAAGTCCAGGAGTGGAACAACTCAAGGTTCGGTGGAAAACCTTGAAATAGAATTGTTCTGGCTGCCTTCTCTTTCTGGTCCCCTAAAGAGTACTTACTAGCTTAGATTCAGCTTAAGTTGTAGAAAATACATTTCAGGGGGGGTAAACTGTTTACAGTCAAGATTGGACTCACATGGTTTTCTGTGTCATGCTTCTATACCCTTCAGTTTTGATGGTTCTAAAGAGGGATGTCTATTTGTTGCTTTCACTAAGGAGTGGAAATTCATGAGAAAGCAACTATAGAGGACCTAGCTTTTAAAGAGTCAGTGGAAACAACATTGCTCAAGAAATTCTATTATCAGAGAGATGAAATGATCATTACTACTGTAAAAGAACACAGCGGGGGAAAATGCCACTGGCCCCTGATAATTAGTTCTGCACTATTTCTCCAAACAAGGCTCTCATGAGGTCTGGTCTTTGCTTACTTCTCTGACCTCATCTTGGAAGTATTCTTCGTGCCTTGTTCACTTAGTTCCAGCCATACTGACTTTCTTTTATTCTCCCAATGTGCCAGTTTCATTCCTTCCTTTGAACCTTTGCACTCACTGTTTACCTGCTGGAATATTTTTCTCCCAGATGTTTATGCGGCTAACTCTTTGTCATTCAGGCTTCTCCTTATAGAACACTTTCTCTGAGAAGTTTTGCCCTGGCCGACCAATCTAAACCAAGCCTCCTGCAATCCTATCACATGTTTAAAACCTTTTCTGTCTAGCATCTATTGCCAGCTAAAAAAAATATTTGTCTCCCTACCCCCAGCCCTAGAATGTAAATGCCAAGGGAGAAGAGACATCTGTTTTGCTTACTTCTGAATTCCCAGTGTCCATAAGAGTGTTTGGCATATAAGAGGTAACCAAAAAAATACTGAGAAGGGCAGTGGTTCTGAATCAGGGGGTCTTAGATGTGGTCCTGGCACAGCCCCCAACTCACTCTTCGGCCTTGATCAAGTTCCTTCCCCTTCTTTGGGACTCCATTTTCTCATCTGTAAACCAGAGTGCTGGGAGAGATGAAATCTAAACTCCCTTCCAGCTTCAATACAAGTTCTATTAGCCATGAAGAAATTCTGTGACACTGACTGCAAAAGAATCTGTTTTTTAGTTCTTCCAGATCATGCTTATGGAAGGTGGGAGAACTGCTCTTGTCCAGAGGTGGTGCAAGTTTGGTATTAGCACCAGGGAAACAACCCCCCCTGTGGCAACTGTTCCCGAATATCCCCTACCTGGCTTCTTCCTGAGCTCGTGTCCTGGCTCCCTCCAGATCCAGCCTTGCAGCCTCCTCTCCCCTTCGCCTCCTTGCCTCTGCTTCCAGCTCAGCCTTCTCTCCGGCTTCCTGTTTCCTCCGCTGGGGCTCCAGCCGTTCTTCTTCAGCCATTTCCAGCAGGCGTTTTTCCTCCTCTGCTAACTGCATTTCCAATTCCTTCTGCCTCTGCTTCTCATCCTCTGCAGAAGAGAAAAGGAGGGTAGACTCAGTAGAGGTCTCAGTACTGGAGAGAGTTCTCGGATCTAACTCCCAAGTCTGATTCCCAGGGACGCCCCCCGAGATATTGGTGTAGCTTACCTGCCGGCAGGCTGCCAGCTCCTCTGTGGGGATCATGTTGGGGTCAATTTACAAATTTAAGAGTCCTTTATCAAGCACCTACTGTGTGCAGTGCACTGTGCAATGAGTATAAAACCTTGCTGGAGAATTTTCCAGAGCCTGGGGTGCTCATGGGTGGTAGGCAGGTAGTTGAGGAGAGGCGTCAGATTGGGGTCTGGAGAAATCGTGTGTTCACTCAGAGGAACTGACCAGCCTAGAGAATGTCATCTGCCGACATCTGCTGAGCCTCTCAAGTAAGGCTATTGATATTCTACAGGTAAGCCCCTGAAAGGCTGGCCCGAAGCTATCCAGATGTTTGTTTCCGTCTGCCAGGGAAAGGAGCAAGGAGCAGGGCTCTGTCGCCAATGTAGGCGGCTCCTGAGCAAGGCTAAAAGGGCAACGGGAGGGGCAGGATCCCAGTTCAGGAGGTGACTGGATTGGGAGTAGGGCCCAAGAGTCATTTCCATAAGTGAGTCTGTCTTATTTTGATCTTCTATCTCAACTCACTGTGGTCACACATATTAATCACTTCGGGAAAAAAAAAAAGAGCTTATACACTTAGAGTGCTTCACACACTAAGGCTTAGGATAGGAATAACTCTGGGGAGATTCAAATGAACACCCACAGTGGGATAAAAATACTTCTGCCCCAGATAGGAGATGCAGATTGCTCCAGAAGCGCTCCTCACCAGCCCTCTCAGCTTCCTCCTGCGGCTTTGTTGTCTGCAGTTCTCGAAGTTTCCTCCGGAATGCCTCCCGTTGCCGCCGGACTCTCTCCTGGGCCACTTGAAACTGAAGCTGCTGCATCCTCGCCTCTTCCTCCTGCCGCCGCCATTCTTCTTCGAGTCTCTCTTTCCTCAGGCTGGGAAAAAGCCACAGGATGGCCAGGGAAATGGCCGCAAACACTGGGACATCCTTGTGAGACTGGCCACCAGGCGGTGGTCACCCCCCCACCCCCCGTGGGGGCTCTGCAGCTACAGGCCACAGGGGGCATCCCATTCAGAGGGCACTGGGTGTCCAAGGGAAGCCTGAGCAAAGAGCAGAAGCACGAGCGCAGCTGCCCTGGAGCTAGAAGTCTCGTGTTTCACCCCACAGCTCTGTGCTCTGGGGCAGGTGTGTGGGTTCCCAGAGCTTCATTTTCCATTCTTACAAGATGAATTTAAAACTCTGGAGGTCTCACAGCATTGTCGTAAAGATGAGATGAAATGAGTCAAGGCCTATGAAAGAATCTAGAACAATGCAGACAGGCATTGGGGCTCAACAAGCGCTTGTGGGGCCGCGTCACAAAGCCCTTCCAAGAAGATCCCAGGAACATCTAACTGGAGTAAGTAACCGTCACGGTCAGGACACTTCCCCTTATCTTTGGACAGAGGACAAACGAGATGTGGGCATGAGCCTCAGAACCAGCTCTGTCGCTAGTGGAGGTCGACCCCGGCCTTTTCCTGCTGCGTCCCAGCGTGGTCACAGGCTCAGGCCGCCCTACCCACCGTTTCTCCTCCGCGTGGGTGCGCAGCTCCAGCTCCAGGTCCTCCTTCATCTCCTCGGGGCTCTGCAGTTGCTCCTGGGGGAGCCGCCACTGCGCTTCCTGCCCGCTTCTCCTCTCCACCTCCGAGTGTCGCCTCTCGGCCCTCTCGGCTCGCAGCCTGTCCGGGAGAGCTCCCTGTCGCTCCCTCTCGGTGAGGAGGGCCTACGGAACCAGAGCGTTCTTAGTGCAAGGCGGAGCCCATCTCAGGGGTCTCGGGGGTCTCAGGGGCGAGGCCTCCTCCACAGCCCTCCATGTCCGAGGGTGTCGCCCCTCACAGAGACCGCGTCATGGAGTGGTTTCCACACTGACTGCAGCCTCGGCCTCGGACTCTGGGGTCTGACTGGCCTGGGTGCAAGTCTCTTACTTGCTTCAGGATTTGGAGGTCACAACTGAATGTCCCTGATATTGTCTTCCCCTTGGGGCTGTTACTGGGATTAATTGAAATACTGAAAGTGCCAAAATAATGTCTGCCCGTCGTCGTAGGTCTGGAGTTTTCAGCCCTGGCTGCACTTGACAACCTCGTAAGGAGTTTTAAAAAAAAATTACTTGAGGCCAAGGCCCCACCCAGGCCAATTAAATGAGAATACCTAGGTGCAAGGCCTGCATGGTTTTAAAAATCTTCTCAGGTGATCCTAGTGAAGCCAGGGCTGGGAACCACAGGTTCCAGATAAAGGCTACTTACCAGGGGTGGTCTTAGATGTAAATGTGTTAGACTCACATTTAATCCCATGCAAACCCACTTTGTCAACAAAAGTTTCTCTCAGCTTCTGTGAAGGATGTCTTAGCTTTCTTTTTCTCCCTAACACCCCCGCCACTGTCAGAAATATGCCCACGAGGGAAGCTTTGAATGCAACTCTTCCATGGGAGCTCCGTGTGTCCAACTTGGGGTGGAATTTCCTGGCTTTTTCGCCTGTGCAGCGCAGCACAGTACTATGGGTTGACAATACATCTAAGAAATTCTGATTCTCTACCAGGCTCAGGAAAGTTCTGCCCCCAGGTAAAAATTTTCATCTGCGGTATACAGCAGCATTCCATAGTCTAGGCAGCTGGGAGAACTGGGAACTATCTTTCTGAAATCCTTTTTGGTAGACCATGGGCAATAAAATAAAGAAAAACAAAATAATTTAAAACTGACAAGAGCCTTAATTTTAGAGTCAAAGGACCTGGATCTAAGTCTTGGCTCTACCGCTTGATGGTTTTGTAACTTCTGGCAACTGGGACACTTATCTCCATGCCTCACTTTCTAGGTCTGTGAAATGGGGATAATCACATCTGGCTCACAAGTGTGGCTATAAAGATTAGATGAGATTCAGCAGAGTTGTACCATATGCACATGTAATTTATGTGGGTTTAACCATAGCAGTTTAGCTGTGGATATAATTGTAGTGTTTAAAGATACTCTTTTTTTCTCCCCTACAACAAAACCTCTAAATGCAGTTCAGCACCTTCATTCATCCCGGTGGAAAAAAATTGTGATTTATTCCAACAGCAGAGGAAAAATTGGTTGTGTTGGTCTTATTGAGAGATGTATCTGTATAGTATTTTTAAAAATTCACTGCAGGGATATTCAAGGGTAATTTTCCTTATGCTCACTCAGTTTTTCTCTTAAATACTTGACATAAGAATTAAGGCTCTTGGAACAAAATTACTTTTATATGCCGCAGCACCTTGTAAAGATAGTTATGTGTCTATAAGCTGCCTATGCCCCAGCTATGTACCACAGAAAAGCAGATTAGGAAAGGAGGAATTTCCATAGCCTTTGGGAGGCAAACAAAACATGAACTCCTGACCAAGTCAAGGATATGTGCTTGGCGGGGGGGGGGGGGTTGCTGGGTGGCTCAGTCCATTAAGTGGCTGTCTTTGGCTCAGTTCATGATCTCAGGGTCCTGGGATCGAGCCCCATGTCAGGCTCTGCTCAGCAGGGAGTCTGCTTCTCCCTCTCTCTGCTCATGCTCTCTCTCAAAAAACAAAACAAAACAAAAAACACAACGATATGTGCTTGGCTCTGATGGCCGAAATCCATCTTTCCCTGTAACTGTGAGGCCTGTGCCAACTTCCTGCTCCTTATGGGATAAGTATATGCTGTGGCATTTTGGGACCCTCACAGAATGCATCATTTCAGAGGGGCTTTGCCACTCTGTCTTTGATCAGCTCTGGCTTCTTACAGGGTCAAATAGAATAGAACAAATAAAAACATGTTCTAATAGCACTGTTTCAGTAACTGCAATATGATTCAGGGCAGTTTTCCCCACCTCTGCAGTTGTACCAATGAGAACAGAAATTTCTCTGGCCAAGGTGAGAATACTGGACCTTACTTTGGAAGGGTCTTCATAACTTCTTTCTTCTTTAGATTCCATGTTTCCAGCGACCGGTATAGTCTGGGTGGGTGATGATCTTCCATCTATGGACACTTGGCTCTCCTGAGCATCATATTCGTGGGAAAGCCAAGGGTCCTCTACAACAGAATCTGCAGGAGAGAAACCTCTCTCTGAAGTGTCTTCTGTTTCCTTAGAGTTAATGACGTCAGGCCCACTCAGCTCTGCTACTTCCAGACTCCTTTCCTTCTGTGTCCTTTTCCTTTTGGCTCTTGGTTTTCTTTCTTTGGGAATTAACTCTGATTTCTTTTCAGCCTTTGATTCCTTTGACTTTCCTGGAGAAGAACAATTGGGGACAGAGTTGTAGCTAAATAAATGTGATCTCTGCATCCTTTTCAGTAGCTTTTAAACTTCGGTGTGCAATGGAATCACCTGGGGTGTAGATTCCTGAGCTCCACTCCTAGAGTCCAATTCTTTAGGAATCTGCATTTTAACGACCACTCCAAGTGTTTTGAGAAGGGTAGTCCACAGACCGCCTTTTGAGAAACTGCCTTATCCTATTTGGACCAACTGTAATTCAATAGTCTTTTTTTTTTTTTTAAGATTTTATTTATTTGACAGAGACACAGCGAGCGAGGGAACACAAGCAGGGGGAGTGGGAGAGGGAGAAGCAGGCTTCCCACGGAGCAGGGAGCCTGATGTGGGGCTTGATCCTGGGACCCCGGGATCGTGACCTGAGCCGAAGGCAGACGCTTAATGACTGAGCCACCCAGGCGCCCCTGTAATTCAATAGTCTTGCTACTAAAAAAAGTTCTGTTTCACCCTGACCTATGGTAGAAGCAAGACTCTCCAGAGGGGAAAACTACATACACAAATGGAAAGTCAAGCCTCAAGAGTCTGGCTTGAGGTTACAGCTTTGTAACCTGGCAAAGTTTAAGCCTTCCATACTCTAGGAACTCTTCCTCAATTCACCTCTGGGGACCACAAGTATTTCCTTACCCAGTCCTGCCAATGCAACCCAAGTAATGGGCTACAACAATGTAAGGTCAGCAAGATTTTAAAAAGCAAATCTCAAAAACAGATTGGGCCCAGGAGACGATCCAGTGTCATCCTTTCTGACAGCCTTTGATTTGTCTGGAGGGTCTTCTAAATCATGTGGCCAGGAAAGAATGGGTGTTAAGTTTTAAGCTAAAGAAAGTCTTCAGAAGCATGGGATTCTAAATTCCTTGGAAGGTGCAATATAGGGAACCAAGAAGAAAAATGGCAGCTGGGGTGATCATTCACAGCTTGTTTCATCCTTCCCCTTCCCAAATGCTTTCACTGCCCAATTCTCAAATTATGATAGTTATTAGTTCATAGAGGCCATAGTAAGAACATGTACTTGGAATCAAAGGGTAGGGTCAGACTCTGGGTCCACCATTTCCTGTTCAATCTGTTTGATCTTATGCAAGCCACCCTATCTCTCTCAGGCCTCAACCACTACACAATATAATAATAATGCTTATTTTAATGGAGATGTTTTGGGGATTTCATGATGTCATTTATGCGGGGCTCTTAATACAGTGGGTATTTGGTAAATAGGTGCTATTATCATTATTATTTCCTCTCTTGATCACAGGTCTCTAGGCAACCCTGGTTTTATCTCTCCTCTCTCTCCTACGATACTGACATGAAGTAAGGCTGCAACAGCTTCTTAGCCAGAGATAGTTAAAAAGACTCAATTGGATTGAGTCCCATTGGATTCATGCTAATTCTCTGTGACACCTCCCAGCCCCCATTAGGTGTCTTTTCCTGGGTTGTTTGTCAAGGGCACACTCCCTTACCTACAGCGGCCTCTGCTTCCCTCTGGACCTTTCCTTCTCTCCTCTCCTTGGGCACCTTGGACTTGTCTGTCTTGGTTCTTTTCTTTCTCTTGACTTTGCCAATCAACTCCATTTCCTAAAGGTGAAAAATTAAGGAAAAGGACCACGATGTGTAGCAAAGAAGAAAAAAAAAACATCAAAGGAAGATTATATTGAACAAAACAGAATGGCTTAGATTGGAATTTGTGTGGGTTCCACATGAAGCAGAAGAGGGAGTCTTAGAATGGAGCTGGTGCGGAGATCCTCAGGTTCAGCCTTTCCTTTAAAACTGCTAGGTCTAATGCCACAGGAGGAAAGAGGAACAAAATACACTTTGTGATTGTCCCCTTTTTTGATGCTAAATCATGATCTACAGAGTTGGATCAAAGTGAAGCAACTTTCAACTTTGATAGAATGCTATTGCTACAATTAATGTTTAGTTTAAATCAAAGCCAGCTTTATTCACTGTTGCATCATTTGCTAACTTTCCAGAAGTTTCTCAAGCAGATGACCACAACCATGTCAGTCTTCACCTTTCCCCATGGGCTGGGACTACAGTGGAGATTCCTCCTAAGAGAGGATGGCAGAGTGGGGCCCTGGCTACCCTCTCAGTGCCTGTGATATTTTGACATAATAAGAAATATATATTTGGTCTTCATTCCTGGTCTCTGGCACAGAACTCCTAAAACCATTATAATTTCTGGAGAACAAATGTGAAGAGTGGCTTTTGCTTTTCATTAACACAACCTCTTTCAACTACACCTGAGAGTGTGTTAGTAAGGTGATTTTGGAAAGCACCTAAGGAGGGGGTACTGGTTACCAGGGGAGCCAACCACGTTATTAGAGGGTTGGAACTTTCAGCCCAACACCTGCAATATCAGAGGAGGGAGAAAAGTCTAGAAGTTGAGTTAACAATCATTTGCCAGTGCTTTAATCAATGCTTTTATCAATCAATTCCTACCTAATGAAGCCTACATAAAAACCTGAACCAAAAGAGTTTGGATTGCTTCTGGGTGGGTGAACACATCTACAGGCCAGGAGGGTACACACCCTCAACTCCATGGAGAAAGAAGCGCCAGCATTTGGGACCCTCCTGGACCTTGCCCTAGGTATCTCTTCGTCTGGCTGTTCATTTGTATCCTTTAAAATATCCTTTTTAAGGGGCGCCTGGCTGGCTCAGTCGGTGGAGTGTGCAACTCTTAATCTTGGGGTTGTAAGTTCGAAGCCCACATTGTGTGTACAGATTACTTAACAATAAAATCTTTGGGGCGCCTGGGTGACTCAGTTGGTTAAGCATCTGCCTTCAGCTTGGGTCATGGTCTCAGGTTTCTGGGATTGAGTCCCGCGGGCTCCCTGCTCAGCAGGGAGCCTTCTTCTCCCTCTCTTTCTGCCCCTCCCCCTGCTTGTGCTCTCTCACACTCTCTCAAATAAATAAAATCTTAAAAAAACACAAAAACCAAAAAACAATAAGATCTTTGAAAACATCCTTTGTAATAAATCAATTATAGTGAGTAAATAACTTTCTGAGGTTTGTGAGCCATTCTAGCAAATTATCAAAGCTGAAGAAAGGATTGTGGGAGCCCTCCTTAGGTGACAACCTGGGACTTGTGACTGGTGTCTGAAGTAGGGGCAGTCTTGTGGGACCAAGCCCTTAACCTGTGGGCTCTGTGCTAATTCCAGGCAGGGTCAGAATTGAACTACGGGACACCCAGTTGGTGTCCTTTGAGCTGGAGATTAATTGATGTGGGAGAAGACTCCACCCATCTGGCATCAGAAGTGGTGTGTAGGACAACTGAAGTTTCCTTTTAGTACTTTTGCAGGAATTAGAAATGGGCACCCCATCCTTCAGAAGGATGCAGTGCATTGCGGGGGTGTGGGGCATGGTGAGTGAACCACAGACTGGATTTCAGCTCTCACTTGCCCCTTTGCAGCTCCCCTTGTATATAGAGTAAGCAATCTGCACAACTGTACATGGTAGCCTGATGGGAGCAAGCTTTTGGACCAAGCTCCTAGATGTTTATACTTACACTGATGTTGGCTAGAGCCTGCTGGTTGAACAGTCTTGGTTCAGCCCTCCTTTCTGTTCCTCTTGGAAAAAAAGATGCATCTACAGGACCCAACCTCTCTGGGGACTTGTGTCCTGGGCGTCTCCTGTGCAGATGGCGTACATCATAATCTCTGCCCCTTTAAGAAAGAGCAAGACAATGGGGCCAAACATTATCAAAACCTCTTACAGACAGGGAAGAGGAAAAGTGAACAAACATTGAGCCCTCGTTTCTGCGGTGCTATGATGGGCATTTTACACACTCGGTCAACCCTCTTTTTCTCAACACATTCCTGAAGAAGGGAGCATAGAAAGTTGAGTCTTCCCTTTTGGGGTTCTCTCCAGCTAAATCCTCAATTTAGAGAGCCGAAAGAAATAGTCTGCCTCTCTGGGGTTGCATATTTATGCCTTTAGTTGAATGACATAAGGTTATCTAACTGAAATTCTTCTATCAAAGACTCAGCTGAAAAATAAATGACCTTTAAGAAAGACTGTTTTAGGAACATGCAACTATCCATCCATTCTTTTATGCCCTTTGAATTCTATTGTTGATCAAATCTAGCCACCAGAAGGTCAAGAGCTGTGTTTGTGTGATCCCTTGTAGAATTGCTGTCCTGATTATCTGCCCTAAGGATAACGGACTTAAGTTCTCCGGGTAAAAGGGTCCCTAAGAAACAGCCATGTGGGTTTCAGTAACAGCTGCAGCAACAGCTTCTGTGTGCCAGGCCTGGTTCTGGGCATTTTATTTTCTAGCTAAATCAGTATTATATTCACTGTTGTTGTGCTAGTACAGGGCCTTACTATAGAAACGTGAGAAATATTTGTTGAATGAGGTAAATGGAATTTCCTGTAAATATATGAGTCTTTAAATCTTTCAATGTCACTCTATAAAAACCTACAGAAGATTTATCCTTTAGAATTTAATGCTAAGAACACATTTATTTCCCCCGAGGAACAGGTATGCTGCAAATGAGAACCACAAACCTGATTGTGTTGCTTTTGTTTGTTTGTTTTTTGTTTGTTTTTTTGCTTTCACATTCAGGAATCTCTATCAAATTTGAAAGTCTGATTTTTGGTCACAAAGACTATAATGACTTTTGTGTAGTGTTGGTGTTCTTTTTTTTTTTTTTTTTCCCCTGCTGGCTTAAAATTTTTTTTCTTTTTGGTTATCTCACCATTTTCTTGGTGATGGGGTTGTTGTAAGTCATTTAAATCCATTGTGGAAAAAGCTGAGGTATAAAGGTTAAAAAATGGAATTTTTCAGAGAGCTGCCTCCATACCAGATAGTGCCTCTCTCCCTTTGTTCCTAGGGAACATAAAACCTTTTTGACCCAGGAGGGAATCCTTAGACCAGGAGGCAGGTGAGGGCAGGTTCTCAAGTCACTGATGCTCATGGGAGGTCACAAGAGGCTATAGTTCTAGCTGCCACTGCCATATGGGGCTTAGGTCAAGTTACTGGGGCTACTGGCCAAGCCTTGGTCAATGAGCTTGGAGTAAGCACATAGTGAGCACATAGGAAGCACTTACTACATGTTAGCAATTTGTGTTAGTATTATTAAGTATTATTTATTTTACCCAGAGCTGAGTGAATGCTGAGAGGAGAAACCAAGGTTGAGATGACAGACTTCACCTTTCTAGGCATGTCTGTAGATCTCAGCTATATAGACAAATGGAGAAAGCGGTTTCCACACTGTCAAGCTTCGTTCTTCACCCACCCAGCCAAAGAATATGGTTGAAGGAGGAAACATATCACAATATAATCCTCCCCAAGAATCCGTTTCTTAGACAACAATTCCAGCTGTTAGAGTATGCGGTTGGCCTGAGAATCTTCATGCTTAGAAAAAACAGAAATTCAATTCATTAAAAACAAAGAAAAATGAGGGGCGCTTGGCTGGCTCAGCCAGTAGAGAATGTAATTCTTGATCCCGGGGTCATGAGTTCAAGCCCCAGGTTGGGTGGAGAGATGACTTTAAAACAAACAAACAAACAAACAGACAAATATGAAATAAAAGTGGAGCCGTCCATGTCATTACAACCTCGAACACTTACGTCTTTTGGACAGTATCTGACACAGGGGGCTGGATGTGGTCAGCCAGGGACGCACCAAGAGGGTCAGGGGTCATACTCTTCAGCTCCTGGTCTGTGAAGACAAAGAGCATCCTTAACAGCAAAGGACAACAGATGATAGACAACAATCCCAGACATGGAGAAACATCTACTTGGTTAGTAGTCAACAACATGCAAATTAGCACAATGAAGTATCTTATACCTAGAAAATTCTCAGATGCTGCACAAATCAGTGCTGGCGCATAGCAAGTGACATTAAAATTAGTAGACTCTTTGGGAATGGGCCACGCCAGTGTGTACCAAGAACCAGAAAAATGTTCCAGTCTTTGATCAGGAACCTCACTTCTGGGTCATGAGGAAATAATTCAAAAGAACAAGCTTTTTGTCCAAAGTAAAAATTAGAAACAGCTCAACAATAGGAGATTGGGAAAACAATTCATGATGCATTAATTTTATATTTAAAATTATGGTTAAAAAGATAATAAGCAGGGGCGCCTGGGTGGCTCAGTCATTAAGCGTCTGCCTTTGGCTCAGGTCATGATCCCAGGGTCCTGGGATCGAGCCCCACATCGGGCTCCCTGCTCAGCGGGAAGCCTGCTTCTCCCTCTCCCGCTCCCCCTGCTTGTGTTCCCTCACTTGCTGTCTCTCTGTCAAATAAATAAAATCTTAAAAAAAAAAAAATAAGCGATATGGAAAATATGATATAAAGAAGTAAAAATGTAAACTATAGGATAGTGTGTTAGAACTCTATAAAATACATATGTAAATGAATAAGGGCTGGAAGAGAAAATAGAAAAAGAAAATAATATGTTAAATTAGGAGGTCTATGTGTATTTAGATTTCTTCTTAAAACCCCAGTGTGGCTATAACATTGAAAATGAAATTGATTAGAAAAAAACCAAACAGGGGCGCCTGGGTGGCTCAGTCGGTTAACTGTCTGCCTTTGGCTCAGGTCATGAGACCAGGGTCCTCGGCTGTAGTCCCGCATCAGGCACCCTGCTCAGTGGGGAGCCTGCTTCTCTTTTTCTTCTGCCCCTCCCCCTGCTTGTGCACACGCGCTCTCTCTCTCTCTCTGTCTCAAATAAATATTAAAAAAAAAAACCTAAGAAAAAGTAGAAAAAGTGAAATTGACTGCATTAAAATCTTTATAGGAAAAATAAATAGTATTATTTAACACTTTAAAAAACTTCCCTAATTGGGCGCCTGGGTGGCTCAGTTGGTTAAGCGACTGCCTTCGGCTCAGGTCATGATCCTGGAGTCCCAGGATCGAGTGCCGCATCGGGCTCCCTGCTCGGCAGGGAGTCTGCTTCTCCCTCTGACCCTCTTCCCTCTTGTGCTCTCTATCTCTCATTCTCTCTCTCTCAAATAAATAAATAAAATCTTTAAAAAAAAAAACTTCCCTAATTGTAAAATTTAAATAAGTATAATTTATCATATGCCAATTATCCCTCAGTAAAGAAAAAAAAATATTTTTAAAGATTTTACTTATTTATTTGACAGAGAGAGACACAGCAAAAGAGGGAACACAAGCAGGGGGAGAGGGACAGGGAGAAGCAGACTCCCCGCTGAGCAGGGAGCCCAATGCGGAACTCCATCCTAGGACCCCGGGATCATGACCCGAGCCAAAGGCAGACGCCCAACAACTGAGCCACCCAGGTGCCCCAAGAAAAAATATTAATATGAATAAAGTACCTCAAACAGTGTTGGCACTTGGTAAAAATAAACAACAAGAACCAAAAAAACCTCACCCATGATCACTCTATTTACATACAATTAACGCAAATATTTTGGTGTAGGTACTTCCATGCATATATAATATATACTCATTTTAACTGAATTAAAAAATAACATAATAATTGTAATTTACTTTTGTTATTAGATTTTCCCTAATTAAATATTCCTAAAAATGATTGTAATAACAGCATGGCATTTCATTGTACAGATGTACCATAACTGACTTAACCAAACATGTAACTTTTAAAATTAAGATTGTTTCAAATTTTTTATAATTAATAAGAACTTTGCATAACATGAAAGGAATGTTTTTGATTATTAAAAGACCTACTCTTTGTTCACATCTATGATTATTAAGGGATATACAGTATTTAAGGCACAGTGTTTACTGCTAAATTGTTCCCCAGAAAATTTGTACTGATTTATACTGAGAAAATGTCATTTACTTCCTTCATTTATCAGATGCTTATTAGCGTGGGAATTGTGCTAGGTGCTGGGAATACAGTGGGGAGTAGGACGGAAACACCTAGTTTCAGGGAGCTTAAATTTTATTGGGGAAGATGGATATTAACACAAACTAAAACAAAACCAAAAAATAAAAACTTTTTAAAAGGAAGGCTCTAATATTCAGTACCTATTTCTCTCTTTGAGCAGTAGATTCTTCTGTGAATTTATTTTTCCTCAATTTTGTTTATTTATAGGTATTATGACTTTTTTTTTTATTTGACAGAGAGAGGCACAGCGAGAGAGGGAACACAAGCAGGGGGAGTGGGAGAGGGAGAAGCAGGCTTCCCGCGGAGCAGGGAGCCCGATGCGGGGCTCCATCCCAGGACCCTGGGATCATGTCCTTGAGCCAAAGGCAGACGCTTAATGACTGAGCCACCCAGGCGCCCCTGTATTATGACTTTAAAGAAAGATTGGAAAAGAAAAAATTCACCTGTCATCCTACCAACATCATTTCCTTAATACTACAGTTAATCCATTTTTCAGCAATCAAGTTGTCTGTGACACCCCCACTCCTTCCCAGCCCAGAGCGTCTTTGTTACTTGAGCTTTTTTTTCTGTCATTCCCAAACTTTAAGGGTGGCATCTACTGTCTCACACATCAACCTCCCGATCTAGCAGTGGGGGCAAAATTGTTAATGCACAGGGTGGCTGGGGAAACTGGGAAGGTTGATTGGGGTGGTACTTTGTAATTTATTTTGTTTTGGATCATATGTAATATTAACAGGGAGCTGGAGCTGATTTAAATAGCTTCATGATAAGGGGAATTCTGAGGGGGGGGGGTTCATTCCCTAACATGGCTGGCTCAGTAAAAGCTGTCTCACTGAAGACATTCACGACTCCTCATAGCTCTTTTGAACTTTGGGACAGGGCACTACAGTACCAGCAGAGGGCGCATTTGTATTGACCAAAACCTGAGGTCCTACATTGGTGTAATTTCACCATATTGATTAGAATCGAAGCTCTGCCAGTTCTGGGAGGTGGATGGTAGAAAAGAGCTCCCCACCCCACTCTAGTATAATAACCTGATATTTAGGAAGTATTGGAATAAACTAAGGCAGTACTTTAATAGTGTATAACTTTTAACTGCTTTTAAAAAATCTGTAAAATATTTACCACCCAGCTTTGTGAAATCTTAACATTTTGCCATATCTGATTCACATTTTTTTCTAAAGAAATAAAACATTTCAGATACAGTCTAAGACTTCATTGTATCACATACAATCTCATTTCTCTTATTCTCTCTCCAGTGGTAACCACTCTCTTAAATTTGGTGTTTGTCAATTGAACACACTACCCCAAAATACAGCACCTTTGCATATTAAATATTTCAGGCTGAAGGAATTTGAGGAATAGCACGTGAAGGAAGGATTCTCTGACCACCGCACCCTTCTCCCCTGGAGCAGGTAATAAGACCCTCATTGGGGCGCCTGGGTGGCTCAATTGGTTAAGCGTCTGCCTTACGCTCAGGTCATGATCTCAGGGTCCTGGGATTGAGCCCCATATTGGGCTCTCTGCTCAGCAGCAAGTCTGCTTCTCTCTCTCTCCCTTTGCCCCTCCCCCCTTGTGCCCTCTCTCTCAAATAAATAAAATCTTTAAAAAAAAAAAAAGGCCCTCATTTGAGAGGTGACTCCCACCCCCCCAAGGGGAAAGACGCATCCTTGTCTCTGAAGACAGAGAAACTTCAAGAGGAATCCAAACAAACAGGACTTATTAAGTTTCTCCCAATTTATCACCCTTAACTCATTCCCTTTAAGTCCTATCATATTTGCCCAAAACTTTCCACTCTTCATCAAATCTAGTATAAAAATACTCAGGTTTGGGGGTGCCTACGTGGCTCAGTCGGTGGAGTGTGCAACTCTTGATCTCAGGGTTGTGAGTTTGAGCCCCATGTTGGGTGTAGAGATTATTTAAAAATAAAAAATATTTAAAACAAACACTCAGACTTAACCATTTCTTTGGGTCCTTACTTTTTTTTTTATTTTAAAGATTTTATTTATTTGAGAGACAGAGTTAGCGAGAGGGAGAGCACATGAGCAGGGGTAGAGGGAGAGGGAGAAGCAGGCTCCCTTGCTGAGCAGGAAGCCCAACATGGGGCTCCATCCCAGGACCCTGGGATCATGATCTGAGCTGAAGGCAGATGCTTAACCAATTGAGCCACCCAGGTGCCCCGGATCCTCACTTTCTTATGAAGGCTCCTGTGTCACATAAAAATTTATGTTAAATATATTTGTGTGTTTTCTCTTAAATTTCTCTGTGTCAGTTCAATTTTTAGGTCCAGCCAGGGACCCTAGGAGGGCCAAGGAAAAGTTTTTCTTCTACAGTGTCCTCAGGCATATGTTTATATCTTTGCCATGTATAAATGCACTTATACACAATGTATAATACTATTTTACACACTAAATCCTTATATCAATAGTATCATTTATATAACTTTTGCAACTTATTTATTTTGCTTAACATTTTGTTTTTGTGGGTGCCTGGGTGGCTCAGTTGGTTAAGCGACTGCCTTCGGCTCAGGTCATGATCCTGGAGTCCCGGGATCGAGTCCCACATCGGGCTCCCTGCTCAGCAGGGAGTCTGCTTCTCCCTCTGACCCTCTTCCCTCTCGTGCTTTCTATCTCTCATTCTCTCTCTCTCTCAAATAAATAAATAAAATCTTTAAAAAAAACATTTTGTTTTTGTGATTAATTCATGATAATACACATAGTTTCCCTTCATTTATTTTAAGCTACTGACACTATTCCATTGTATAAACATACCATAATTTATTTATCTGTTTTGCTGCTGATGGCTGTTTTGATTATTTCCAATTTTTTTGTGATTACAAACAATG